CTTAAACCTAACTTAACCTAACCTGACCGAACCTAATCGTGTCTTTGCGACAAACATCCAACATATCCTGAAAGAACAACGGTTTAGTTATTATTCGGTTTTCGGGGTAATGAAAATTCGAACAAACATAATTTCGGAAAAAATTAATTCGACTTTGTGATAGGTTATTCAAATACAAATTTAGTCGCAGTGTTGTAGGACAGCATACCGCCTTAATAATATAATAAATAACCTAAATCACCAGATCAGAAACAATTTAGAAAGTTTCGTTTTGGAAATAACGCTTTTTTTATTTTTGTTTTTTCAAACAAACCATAGTTTAGGCCCTTTATGGGTTGACCAGTTAGGCGTGACCATGGGATTTGTAAAGGACTCAAAACATTGGTTTGTTTGAAAAAAAACAAAAAAAAAACAAAAAATGGCTTTCCAATGTGTAACAATCGCGAAAACTTCGTTTGTTGAACGGTCTGAGCGTTGACATAAATGTGAAATTTGATTAGGTTGAAAACTCCGTAACGTGAACCTGTGATGAATGTGCTCAAGCATAAATTAATCACGATCCGGTAAACCGCGTGATATTTAACGAACTAATCAGGGTATTTGTGTGCTCAAATTCGTGCAAAGCGCTTTATACTATTTAAACGCCAATCCACTTAATGTTTCAAGGTCTCAGGTTAGATTACTGGCAGGATTAATTTCGTTTCTTTATGATTAGTAGCAGTAGAGCTCCTTGTGAAAGATTTCGTCCAAGTACTGCCACTACACCAATTTCTACCGTCAAACAGTAATGCGAGTATTACAACGTTCCGGTTTGGAAAGGTGCTGGTGAAAATACAGGCACATGTGACGTATAAAGTACATGTCTCAAGGTGACGGAAGCAGTGGTAGAGCCTTTCAGGTTTTTTCGATGTAAAGCTCTAAGAGCGCCTTCGAATTAAAGCTTATAGATGCGTTGCAATGGCGCCACTGTGGCGTGGCAGCCGCTTCACACGTCACTTCACTAAAGCGTGAAACGTTACTTCACAAAAGCGTGTATTTAAATGGTACGTTCATAAATAAATACACGGAATTAGACCCGTCGCGGTCCCGACTCG